CTGCTGGCAAGTCATTTTAACCCCACAGCCACTGCTTGAGCCCAGAGCGGGGGCCGCGCCGACATACATTTGCCTTCCAGTTCTACGTGAATTGGTGCAGAGGTGACAGGGAAACACAAAGAGCTCGGCAGGAGCTCGGGAGCCAGATGTGGAGGAGACCACTTTGAAGACGATGCGTCTGAGTCCCTGGGTGAGATTCGTGGAAATGAGCAAAGTGACTTTATGGGACTATCGTGTAGGATTTGAGACACGCGGGAGATATCCAGTGATCGCTGACTGCTCGTGCAGCCGTCCAAGTGACTGTGACCCACATGCATGATGTTCGTATCTTCTCTAGGGTGGCGCCGTCATTTGCATAGTGGTGATGGAATAAGTTTGCCTCCCTGTCTTCTCCCGTACGGATAATATCGAACGGTCATGTACGGACGAGGGATCCCAGGCGTGGGTGACTTCCCACCCCTCGAAAACAAACGAGGGGAGGCAGGCCGGGTCTTCGCTCAACCAGGTGTTCGCAGAGAGCAACCGGTCCTGGCTGGAAGTTTTGTAGGTGGTCTCTCCTCTGCCCTCAGTGGGATGGGGCCATCCCAGCAAGCGTTATGAACGGGAACAGAGTGTAGAAATGGGAGTCAAAGGCAATGATGGGACACGGAGCTCTGAGAACGTACAGACTCGGGAATACCAGCTATGCAGCAAAAGACAGACATACATCTTGGTACCTGCAGAAACCCCGTGAAGATCATGTCATACTTTGCGTCTGGAATATGGCCAGTTGTCAGTTGTTTCCAGGGTTTCCAGGGAAGCCAAAGAACTCCCCCCCCCCCAAAAGGTCACTGTGGTAAGTCAAGGAGGAGGCAAGACTTAACAGCTGCGCTTTACCTCTTCCTTTTTCTTTTCTTTTTTTAACTTTCTGCTATAAGCAGTTAGGAAAACAGAAGTTCACATCTGTTAATCTGTTTGCATTTCCTGAGCTTAGTTAAATCAAGAAGGAATGAACTTTAAAAGAAGAAATCCCCACCGAGTATTAAAATAAATGAGAAACGTGCCCTGCGAGTTTGCACTTAGGCGACACCTTCCTGTAGCCGCACGACATCCCCCCACCCCCCTCCCATTCTCCTGGGGCTGAAGGCAAAAGGGCACCGG